AAAGGAGAGAAATAGTCTATCCCCACTTGATTCACCATATCGTATTTAATTTATGCACTCGAGCCCCGATTGCCGTTTATCGTTTATAAAAATGGTTTGCACATGAGCCCCCCCCCTCATTTGTCTTCCCTGTTTTAACCGCAGTAAGCGCGGGGATTTCGAATAGATATTCCAAAAGCAAAGACCGTTTCGCAGTACTGCACGATTTACATCCAGGACTATTTCTCTCCATCGCAACATCGAGCATACCGCATAAAGCGCAGTGTTTGTATGGGCTTTGGCAGGGCAACTAGTGAGTAAGTTAAAAACAGTAAGACGGACAAACATAAAATAGGCAAAAGGATAAAAAGGTCATACCATCATGGTAGGAAGCATTTAACTTAAAACCCTTTTTGTTAACACAGGGGAGGCTTCCATTGGTTGATAGCAATTTCGTCAGCGAATCTTGGTAATGTTAAACTTTGGGGCTTATAGGCAATCCGGTCAACCTTGTGCTGTCATCAGGTGTGGGACCATAGCTGATGATGGGATCTTGTAGTTTCGTTGTCGTATTTACGCTGCGATCTTGACCTTGATTGCGTCATCTAACTTTGAACCGAATTTGGAGTATGTTCAGCCACCCAGTTACTTAATTGTCATTCTTTTCCACCCATGTACGTCGCTGTACACCCTCATGGGAACTGGTAGATCAGATTGGAGTTAGATGTTTGTCACGTAGGTGACTATTAAACGCAGCGTTGGTTCCCATGAGTTTTGTTGTTATGGTGAACAGTAATTATTCCTGTAATGGTTTGTGTATGCCATTAACGGGAATCAAACATTTGCTCTTGTAGTGTTTTTCCGGACTTGTCTTCCCCGCCATCCCCATGCAGATGTCAGTATCAAACATTTCACAATGCTGTTGTAATTCGCAATGCACTTTTTCTCTTCGTCTTTATTCCAACGGCCCTGGCAGAGTGAAGGGCCCTACCTATCCTGACTGCGCCAATATAAAGCTGTTGCGAACGCCGAATATTCACTGCAAAATGATCAAATGGGATAATTTTATCTCTTCGCTGTTCTCATCAGAACCAAATAGTCATAGCGGCTGTTTTTTAGTTTTACGTAGCACCGACTATTCTCATTATTTGTTTCATAACTGACTATCAGTTGTCTGCAGAAATGTTCTTTTTTTAACCTCTCTCTCTCATTCAGACCTCAGAAACAACCGATCGTCTTATGAATCAGTTCATTCAGGCTGCTGAACGGCAAGGTCAGCTTGAATTTCGGCAAGCTACCCATGTTCATCGAAGTCTTCCACTTCCACCAACCGCCTCACTACAATTCTTGCTGTCCAAGGCTCCCGGACCTCTGGCTC